AAAGAGTGAGAATCAATGGCACAGTTTCAGTGGGGAAACTCCAGCTGCATATATGGAAAAAGTGTTCTCCACAAATGAGGTTCCTGTGGGTCCTCACTTCAGAGAGGTAAGGGGGGACCTCCTTCCGCGGGATGTTCACCACCAACCTGGACAACCCCTTGGGCTTTGCCTTCACATCATCTGGACAGGAGGGTGGATCAGAGACCTCCATAGGGTCCTTCAAGCTAAATTCTCTCATGATTCAGTGAGATTTCCCCTGCTCACTGTGCAAGAACATGCAATGAGGGTCCCACAGCAGTGCCTCCTACCTGGCAGGGCTCAGGGTTCTGGCCAGACCAGCGGAGGTGAGGCTGGACATGGAGGCACCCTGCTTTCATCCTGCTTATGGAAGGGAACCATGGGCCACCTGCTGGGGGTCTTCTCCCACCCACAAGTCCAGGGCAGTTCTTGTGTGTCAGGAGCCCATGGCAGGGAGCATGGGGCACACATCTGCTTATGCACTCACCCCAAAGGATATGTAGGCACCCATCACGCTGCCTGCAATTGTAGAAAAGCCGCCAGTCATCACAGTGTGGATTTCTGAACGGGTCATGTCTGCAAGGTATGGGCGGATGAGCAGCGGGGCTTCAGTCTGCAAGAGAGAAAACCCTGTTGCCCTTGAGACAGGAGATGCAGGGCTGTAGGTCTCCTGGAAAGGGAGGAGAAGACTCTTCCTCCAGGGCAGGCTCAGCTGCAAGGGCTGAGGAGCTGGATCTCCTGCCCAGGACCTTACCTGTCCCACAAAAATATTCCCTGCCACACTCAGGGTCTCAGTGGAAGTGGTGCCCATTGAGACCTGAAGGATCCAGGAGATCTGGGGAAAGACAAGGCCACCATGTTTCCAAAGACTCCTGGCACCCTGATACCCATCCCATGAAGCAGGACCCTGTTGGGCCCTCAGGCTGCACACAGGTGGTCTTGGGAAGTGTCCACAGACCACGTAGCAACATCAGCTCCAGGACTGGACTTTCTCAGGAGGATGTGCAAGAAAGACAAGAGTTGTGTCTATTCTTTTAGGCAGAACAAATAACCCAAAATTAGTACTATGCCAGCTTTCCTGGAACATCCCTCAAGCTGTTCACAGTAGTCAGAGAACCCACCAGGTTCTTCTTTCCACTACCATCTCAGAGCCAGGTGTGAGGCCCTACCTTGACAATGAGCCACTGCATGATGCCAAGGTAGTAGAGGATGGACATCACACAGCTGAAGAAAACAACAATGGGCAGAGTCTGTAGGCAAGACACCAGGGCATAGGGTTAAATGAGAGCTGAGCAACACATCTAAGTACACTTCGGGACCAAGCACTTCTGACGCATGAAATGGGCATGGCATGGTATTGCATAGCCAGCCCTCACTTTTGGGGTGCCACAACTCTGGGCTGGCAGCTGGGACAGGGGACCAGTGCAAACCCCTTATGGCTCTGAGGAGGTCCATGAATGTTTACAAAGCTGAGGGAGACCCATGCTTGAGCTGGTTGAGCTCTGCTGCAGCAAACATGGCTGCGTTCAGCTCCATACTCTTCAGGATCCAGCAAGGCAGCCACACCAGAAGAGAATCAGGCTAAGCCTCTCTCCCTGTAGCCCATACCACAAGCTGACCTGAAAGGCGAAGACTTCTTCAATGAGCGTGTTCCCAAAGACAAAGCTGGAGCCAGCTGTGGTGTAGCCCAGGAAGAACTGCAGTAGAGAAGTTACATGGGTGAATGGAAATCATTAGCTCTCTCCCTGACATCTCACTTCTACCTAGCAGGGGTCTGTGCCCCCAACCCCATAGCTCACTTCACCACCTCACCAGAGAATGACCCTTTAAGACCTAAGCTGGGGACACTGGTGGGCTGTCTCCAAGTGCTGGGGCACAGCTCCAGCCTGCATAGGAGACTGCACCAGAGGATCCTGGCTGCTGCAGAGAACCAGGAAACAGCTGGTTTTTCTCCAGTCCCAAACAAAAGTGCTTCTAAGCGTGCAATCCCTGCAGCTTCCCCACCCCGTGCCATCCTCTGCTCTTCCTGTAGGTCCTTGCTTCCCAAGGGAAGGCACAAGCATGGAGGGCACAAGCACGGGGTGGTTTGAGCAGATGCAGTACCTGGATCTGGTCACCCAGCCACTGGAAAGCTTGGATGCCAGGGGTTGTTCGGAGGATGAAAAGTCCCAATATGAACTCCAAGCCAAGACCCCAAAAAACAGCTCTCCAGGACACCTGGGGACCAAGAGCAGAACAAGGACTGAGATGTTAGTGAAACCTACAGAATTCCCTTTCTTAGCTTCCTGTCCCTTTGGTGGCTGCATATGGCAAACACCTGCATGAAGGTCATGGGGATACTAACAAAGAAATTGGCACAGAAACCCACAAACATAGTTCGGTTTTAGAGGAAGAAGATGAGTTGGTGGGACCCAGAAACTGGCTGGTGGAACATAACCTGCCAGGCTCACCCAGGAGGAGAAGAGCACAGAGACCTTCTGATGGTTTGACAGGTAGTACACACCTGCTGGATCAAAACTTCCTATTCATTAACCCTTTGGAGGAGGCAGATTGCCCAAAACATTGAAGCAGGTTGGGTTGGAAACCACTGGGACTTCAACCACTTCTGCCCAAGTTGCCTGAAGATCTGGCCCACCCTCCACCCACAGGCATCTGAAATTCAGGCATGAGTCTGGTGCTGGGTCTCTGGTTCTGACCCACTATGAGAGACATGATGGCAAACATAATAGAGGCACTATGAAGGAGCACAGGGATAAGCAGTGGGAAAAGGCCAGTGAGGTGGCTTTGGGGCCAGTTCCATCCACCCAGCTCAGCTCCCCATGCTGTGTCCAGCTGTGCCCAGGAGCCTTGCTGGACTCTGCTTCCTCCAGGGAGCTCCAGTGATGGGCCATAAGGGGATGCCAGTGGGAGGAAAGCACATTTTTCCTAGCACTGGGAGGTTACATCCTGTGAGGGCATCAATGGGCAAGAAACATCTGAAACACATACTGCTCTGTGGTGCTTGGAGCAGGCAAACAGGAACAGCACCAGGAAGCAGAAGCCAGCCAATGAGATGAGCTGCTCTGGATTTCTGGCGGTGTCCAAAGCCAGCCATGTGATCAGGCCTCCCAAGAGAGCCACCCACAGCAGCCTGCAAAGGAAATCCGAGACTGTCACAGAGACGATGTCCTCGTGGGGAGAGCAGCTCACAAAGGGCAGGAGCTAATTGTGTGGGAGATGCCACTGTTAGCTCCATGCATCTGAAGAAACCTGGGGCTCAGACACAAACGGTGTCTGTGAACAGCCATCATGCTGCTGAGGTAGAGTAGCAGGACATTACTGCCATGGCTTTTAAGTGGTCCCAGGCTGGACCATTCTTCATCATTCATGACGTGCTTGCACAGGACTAGGGCATGTGTCCAATGCCACCAGCTGCTGGTTGTGCTGGCAGGGGAGCCCTGGGCCCAGCTGCGGGTTGTGCTGGCAGGGCAGCCATGGGAGAGGGGACCAGGTACTGGGAGGGATCTGGCCCTGACTTTTCCTGACTCACCATTTCAGCCATAGCCAGGACCTTCTGAAGCATTTCCAAATGGGGCTGAGGAGCAGCAGTACCTTTGCCCCACAGTGCTTCTTGAAGAGGCTCCAGCAGGTGAAGACGACAACCACTGCAGTCATCACAACCAAGGCAAGGGCTCGCTGGAAGTCGAGCCAACAGGCCGCAATAAGGTAGCACAGGTAGGCTGGAGAAGGCACATTCGGGGTCAGAAATATCAGGCCCATAGGATCATGGATTCATAACACTAACCAGGCCCAACAATGAGTTAAATTTCTTTGAGGCTCCCATCTGTGCACAAGGAGGACTTAGGGAGCACCATCCCAGCAGCTGGGCTCACTGGTGACAGCACCTCAGCTGTCTTGGGGAACATGGAACGACCAGAACAGGCACAGCAAACCCTTTGGGTAGGTGGATAAAGAGGAGGAGGAGAGTGAGGAACAGGTAGCCCTCAAGGACAGGAGTGGTGACTGAGGAGGGGGCAGGCCATGGGGTGAGAGCGGATACAACCACCACATGGGTGGTGGCCATGCCCAGTGCTTGGAGGTTGGGGGAATGGCCAGCCAGAGGGATATGAAGATGGGGTCTCAGCTCTGGGAAGTCCTTACCTACTCCAAGGAGCCCCAAGATGACCCTCCTCAACACCTTGGCATAAGCCTTGCAGAAGCGCTTTGCCTTGGAAGCCGGCTGCACAGACTTCCTGGGGAGAGTCACAGAAGATGGATCCTGAAGATGAACCCAACCCAGCCCAGTGGAGCCAGGTCATGACTAAAGGGTGCTTGCATCAGCAGCATGGTTGATAGGTGTGCCATGGCCTCCAGCAGCCCTACTGCCTGCTCCCAGGAGGAGCAAACTTGCCAGTTGTGGCAAGGAAGACCCCACCACATACCCAACACCCCAGGCACAATGAGTGGAGGTTTGTGCTGGGTGGCTGCACTACTGACTGCACCCTACAAAGCCATATGGAGCCATCAGGCACTGTCCCTGCTATGTGGTCAATACTACCCTGCACTGCTCCCTGATCAGGGGAATCACTGACTCAAGGATTGCAGACTTGCTATGACCACTGGAAACACCCTACACAGATGCATCTCCAGGGGCTATCCTACCTGCAGTAGGAGGAGAATCTCCCTTTCCCTTCTCCTCTCCTCTCCTCTTTGGTCTCATCACATGGACCATCACATTCCTCACAGAGTCTCTCCTCCCCCTGGAAAACATCATTTGGTGGAGCAACCTGAGCAGCTCCTGTACCCCATGGGAGGGGAAAGGAGGACTTACCATGGAGCTGAAAGCTGGGTTGTCTGAGCCCTTCCCAAGGTTGTCCAGGGTTATCTGGTTTTCTTCCATGTCCAGAAGTGCAGCAGCTTCAATGCATTAGAGAAACAACACTGCAGGGGAACAATGCTGGATGGGAAGAGAAAGACAGGATCACCTCTGGGAAGGATGCATGTCCAACCCTGATTTCCACTTCTGGGTCCCCGACAGGAAAACACTCTTTACAGTAGAGATTCAGAGTAGTTTCTGCACCAGCACATCAAGGGACCATCCCATAGGATCGTCAAGCTGTGGGGAGGGAGTGCTGACTCCCTTGTTCTCCTCTCTTGGAAAGTTTGCTCTCCCATGTCTCCAAGGAATTACAGAAGAGAACTAGGTGCAGCAGGAAGAGCTGGTACTGCTCCTCCAAGTTGGTGGTAGTGGCAACCTGCCTCTGTGAGTAACCCTGCCAGTGAGGTTCTGCAAAAAATAAATCTGGCTGTACCCCTCATTGAGTGCAACCGAGTAACATGGTCTGGGTTGGAAAGGACCTAAAAGCTCATCCAGTTCCAGCACCCTGCCACAGGCAGGGACACCTTCCACTAGAGCAGGTTGCTCCAAGCCCCTGTGTCCAGCCTGGCCTTGAATACTGCCAGGGATGGAGCATTCACAGCATCCTTGGGCAACATGTTCCAGCGCCTCACCGCCCTCACAGGGAAGAACTTCTTCCTTGTATCTAACCTGAACTTCCCCTGTTTCAGTTTAAACACATCACCCCTTGTCCTATCACTACAGTCCCCAATGAAGGCCCCATCTCCAGCATCCTCGTAGCCCCCTTCAGACACTGGAAGCTGCTCTGAGGTCTCCACGCAGCTTCTCTTCTCGAGGCTGAACAGCCCCCGTGTTCTCAGCCTGTCTTCATACGGGAGATGCTCCAGCCCCTGATCATCCTCATGGCCTCCTCTGGACTTGCTCCAGCAGTTCCATGTCCTTCTTATGTTGAGGACACCAGAATTCCACCAGGGCGCAGGTCCTCGCTTCCACCTTCTATCAGCTTCTTTTTTCCTTCTGAATTTGCCCTCCTGTCCTCTAGGCCTTTATCCCATGGAACGTTACTGAGCAGGTTCCTGAAGAGGCCAAAGTCTGCTCTCTTGAAGTTCAGGGCAGTGAGCTTGCTGTGTACCCTTCTCACTGCCCTGAGGATCTCAAATGGAATAAGAAAGAAGGAGAAGGAAGGCTAGGACAAGGATAAGGAAGGATAAGGATAAAGATAAGAAATTATAAGGAAGAAGGTCTTTTCATGTTCATAACTAATACAGTGCAGCAGCAATGGTTAGGAGTAAGTGGTAGTTTGCATGGGTACTGGTCCTTGAGGAGAATCATACTGGGAGAACTAATCCAGCATAGGCAGAAGAACCAGTGTAATACCAGGGCAGCAACCTTGGTGCATGCCACTTGGGCTCCCTCCTGGAGAGGGATGAGGGAAGAGCAAACAAGTTGCAGAGAAGGTAGTGATCGACTGTAGAAGCATTTGTGTTTGAGGACAGAGGGAGTAAGGAGTTGTCCTTGCTTAGGAGGAGAGTCATAGAGGTCTGCATGGAGAAGGTGAAGAAGGCAGGATCATTGCCTGCTTCATTCAGTGTGAGAATTAGGGTTCACTGAAGGGACTGTCCCAGCTCTGAATCCAGCGAATGAAGGTGAGGAGTTTTGGAGAACATCCCCCTCAGTGTGGGACCTCACAACAGCTGAAGGTGGCGGTTGGTTCCATGGAGACCACTGAGGCATGCCAGCCCCCAGCGCGTCCCTGGGCTCATGGCTCCTCAGCAGCAGGGGAGGACCCAGGGACATGGTAGGAACCTAGGACCCCAGACCAGGGCCTCCAGCACCCCCAGTGTCCCCCAGGGCTCAGGGAACCCTCACCAGGACCCTGGCAGGGAACAAGAGGACCCCTCTTCCCAGGCCCACCATTTCAGGATCACCCTGAGATCCCTCTGGGCTTAGTGACCCTGCCGGCACCCCCAGTGCTCAGTGACCCCTCCAGGACCCCCAAGGGCTCCTGGCTGTCCCCATCCCTCCCAGGCTGAGTGCCCTTCAGGATCCCACACTAATGCCACCACTGTGCCCCCCTCAGCGCCACTCCCTCCCTCCAGCAGCTCATCTGGTTTCTGTTTTGGTGAAGCCTCTTATGCTGCCATCCACTCCAGGAGTAGGGCCACATGGAACAGGCAGCCAATCAGTGGGGCAGCAAGTGGGTGCCCCCATGCTCCCCCTATGCTGTCATGCCTCACATCCTCACCCCCTCAGCCTCGTCATGCCGTGTGGCTGCATGCCCTTCTGCCCTCCCCCCTGCCTCCCTGCACCCCACGCCCTCACACCTTCTGCATCCTTTTGCCGCGTGCCTCACAGACCCCATGGCCTCATGTCTGCCCCAAGCCCCACAGCTACTGCCGCCCCAGCACCCACCGTGCTCCTGTGCTCACCTGCCAGCCCCACTGGCCACACAGCGCCTGTCCCCACACCCGGTTACCGATTAACAGCTCGGTCCAAAGAACTGGGCTGGGCACAGTGGGGCTGGGGCTGCCCCAGCTCCTCCCAGGGCCTACACCTGGGCATCCACAAGGGCCTGCGCAGGACCCCAGCGGAGTGGTCTTGCCGCCCAGAAAAGGCTGTCTGGGGTACTTTCACCCCTAGGAATCCAGCCTTTACTCCACTCTGACAAATGCTTCC